AGGTCAAATAGCAAGACCATACTCCAGNTGACAACAATTGAGAGGTAGTCATTGAGCATTTCTAGTCACACAGGAAGAGAGGTCAAATAGCAAGACCATACTCCAGTTTGACTCCTCCCAAAATAAGAGAACTTTTCAAAGGAAGATTAGAGAAATTTGCCAGACTCCATATATATGTTGGATAAGGTAGGTCAAATTAATCAGTGGATTATTTGATTCAAGCTAGTCAGTCTTTATTTTCTCCTACCAATTCTATTAAAATTGACCTTTAATTTGTCTTATTTAATTGTTAATCTTAATAGAAATGATCGAGTAAAATAAATTATATAGTTTAAGAGATAAATTGAGATAATTTAAAATTCATGGGATAATTTACAATAAGTCATAGTGTAGAGGGCATTTATGAGATTTGACCAACTTTTTTTAGCGAGTACCTGTCAAATGGATGACTCTGTCCTCTGNAATTTACAATAAGTCATAGTGTAGAGGGCATTTATGAGATTTGACCAACTTTTTTTTTCAGCGAGTACCTGTCAAATGGATGACTCTGTCCTCCGCGGTAATTGTAAGCTATTGCTTTTACTTTCTTTTTTTGGGACTTGTTCACCATTTATTTCAAACGAAAATCATATCAATTCTCAATCACAATGCCATAAATAACATATATACTGCAAACATTGTGTTCCTATAACGAGAGATATGGGTTACCCTATGAGGTTGACATTGTACAATGACCTTTATATTTTTCGATAAATTGAGTATAAAAAGATTTGATTTATTGATGATCGATACATTAATTGAACGNATGGGTTACCCTATGAGGTTGACATTGTACAATGACCTTTATATTTTTCGATAAATCGAGTATAAAAAGATTTGATTTATTGATCATCGATACATTAATTGAATGNGGTTACCCTATGAGGTTGACATTGTACAATGACCTTTATATTTTTCGATAAATTGAGTATAAAAAGATTTGATTTATTGATGATCGATACATTAATTGAACGATACCTGATTTGGAAAGCTAGTGATACAAGGTTATCTATTAGTCGAACAAACTTTGGTCGGTGACAAAATTAGAAATTGTTTAAGTGAGATCGTTCAACAACTCGATTCTAACATATTATATCAATTATCAGATACGTATGATATATATCTGATACGTATTTTTGAATATTTAACGAATATTATATTTAATACAATATCTAATACAAATACATCGAGTTTGACAAAACATTCGTGTTTCATAGGTGTCAACCCTAAATAGGCCTATGTTTCTTACCTTTTTTCAATTTTATATTTTTGTTCTCACCTTACATCTCATGTACATACACCTAAATACAAGTAGGGATGTCAACATATGACACGACTCGTTAACATAATACAGAATTAAAGAGATTGAGTCTTTTTTAGGTCACTCGTTTTGTAAATGAGTGAATCCGATATGATATGATTAACAAATAAATCGGGTATGAGTGAAATCAATTAAAAGAAATACGCAACACAACTTGTTTATATATTAATGATTTATATACGATACAAATCCGCTATGACACGACTTGTTAGCCACAAATTAATAAGCGAATTGGGTATGACTAGAAAACTTTTTGACACAAACCCGCTAAGATCAGACACAAACCCTACCTCACCTGACACGATTAACAGACCTAACATCTTTTAAATTTTTTTTTTGACATAAGACGAACACCCGTACTAGGTAATATATTTGAATCCAATAGTACACCTTTGTTGTTTGGGATGTTACTACTAAATAAAAAGATGATGGTGTCGTTGAATTGTTTTTGCAATATTTAGATCATTCTTGATTAAACGAGTCAAATTTAAACAAATTTTTAGAGCTCACCAACTTTATAAAACTCATCTTGATAAAGCTTATTAACATCAAAATACTAAACAAAATGTTAATCTACTTGAATTCGATTTGAGTTTAGACGGTGAGATAAATAAAACCAAGCTTGATTATTTCTTTAAAGTTCACTTAAATTTCAAACCAAGCTTGAATAAGTTAGAACTCAACGTGACCCAGTACATTTATGCTCTCTTCTCATTAGTTATCTTGAAACTGTTATCTATTTGTATGTACAAGGTCTAATGATTAATGAAAAGATAATTGATATTTGTGATTAAATTTCTTATGAAAAATTGATTATCCTGAACTCCGACTGACTTCTAAAGAGTCAAGAGTGTGATTAGGGCTGAGAAAAGTCAGCCAGTTGTCCAGCAGGTGCTGGTGGAGGAGCAGATGGATCAATAACTTAATTTGGAAGAAGATTCTGATGAGCTGATTACATTGATGACACAAACATGAGATCAAAAAGATGATAACCAAACATTGGACTATATAGGAGAAACAATATAATTTTCACGTTTATTTTACTCTCAATTGAAAACCCGACACTAAACTAATGATTTTATCTGCGATCTCTTGAATTGTTCGCATCGTTCTATTCGATTAAAAAAACTTAGATGAAACTCTTGATCGACTTCTTGGCATACGGGAAAGACTTCAAAGCCCTATGTTTTAGCTTAGACTAAGGGAATTGATTCCTAGTGCTATAAGACCATCTTCGATGAAAACTCAAAAATCTTACTTAAATTTGAGTGAAAAAAAAATAAAAAACTTAATTTAGTTTAGACGTCTACAACAAAAAAAACTCAAATTTAAAGGAAGGAAAATTCAAATTTAAATAAAGAAAAATTCAAATTTAAAATAGGAAAAAATTTGACCATTAAATCTCTAAAAGACCATGAAATCTCACAATTATTTATTTAGATATAGATTTAAGATTTCCTTAATTTGAGTTTAAAAAATAGTTTTTATTTATTTGGTGCAAGTATGAGCCTAATATTGAAATTTTTTTTGAACTTTTTAAATTTGGGTACTTAAAAAAAAGATTCAGATCATCTCCACTACCCCTTCCTTTCAATTTCCCTCAATAGTGTCTTGGACAATTGACAAGTAAATTTTTTTTAGTTCAATGGACAAGATCTAACTTTGCCAAACAGAATACTTAACTCAAGTTAACTATACCAAATCGGTGATGCAAACACAATAAATGGAAAGGTTTATTGTAATTTAAACCATAATAATAAATGGTTATGCAGTAGAATTCGGAATGGTTTAATCGATAGAAAAATTCTAAACAATGCCTAAAGGTCACAACTTATGTTAACACGTGTTTCTTCCTTGCCAACATATTCATAACAATTGCATCTTATTGATAGGGATGCAATTTGGGTTGGGCAACCTGATTTTAACCCGAAAAAATTAGGACTTGGGCAAGGGTTTTTAATATTTGGGTTAGGCTTGAGTCAGAAAATCCCAACCCGAATTTAATTTGAGTTAGAAAATTTTAACCCGATTTCAACCTAAACCCGACAATTTTTAAAAAAAATTATATATATATATATATATATAAAGCATTAGCACTAATGTTTCATTTTTGTTCTATCGTTTTCTGTTTCTCTTGTTTATTTTCATTTTTTTTCTAGCATTAGAACTGTTAAAACTTTGTTAAAGTTATTAGTTGTTAATTTAGGTGAATATTATGTAATATATGTCTTAGATTTAGAACAACAAGCATATTTTGGGGTCTACCCGAATTCAATCCGAATTGAACCTGTAAAGTAACTCGAAATTAGTTCGAAATCATTAACCCGAATTCAACCCGAGCCCGCCCGAATTAAACTCGGTAAGTGCTCGGGTTGAGTTCTTCAACCCGAGGTAGGGTTAGGGTTAGGGTTAGAGTTGAAGATTATATACCTAGAGTTGGGCTAGAGTTGACTATCCAACTCGCCCAACCCGCCCGAGTTGCACCCCTGCTTATTGATGGTTGAAGCTTTTATTAGACATAAAAATCATTTATGTTAGTATCAAATACTAATTTTAATTTTATTTGTCAAAATGTCGTTTTTGACAAATAAGTAAATAGTTGATGAATATAATGTGCTGTGTGTATGTTGTTGTATTCATATTTATGATGTATATATACACACACATGATGAAGAGAAGTAACAAGATGACTTTTCCGGTGATCAAAATTGGATTGAAGATCATGTGAGATTTTTTCTTTTGGTCAAGGAGATAAAAGTGAGATTTGATTGCCAAGAAAGAAAGCTATTGAATTGAATTTGAGTCCAAGAATTAAGCTTGTTTGCCCTTTTTTTTTTTTTTTTTTGCACAACGTTTTAGTTCAATGGACAAAAGATCTTGTCCATTGAACTAAAAAAATTTCACTTGTCACTCGTCCAAAAGAGACACTATTGAGAGGAATTGATAATAGAGAAGATATGAATCCCAAAAAAATAGATAGGGTTACGGATAGTCACTTCTTCAAAATTCCAATCATAGTAACAAGAAAGGGTATCGTAGTCCATTCAGCATAGGAGAGATTTTTGCTAGGTGGTTGTGATTCTTGTGAAAGAGTTTAGCATGCCTTTTGGTATTACTCGAAAAAAAATACTAAAACTCTCCTACTCAGAACCTCTCTCTCTCTCTCTCCCCGTCCTTTTTCTGTTGCCTTCAGTGCCATATTGCGACTTGCTCATCATTTTAATGGCGTGAGCATACCCAGTTACAGACCTGTATGTCTACACCCAAAAACCCGTCAATATCAAGACCCATTTGTCTTGCTCTTGACTCTTCCTCGTCTTCATCCCCAAAACCAAAAAACCAAAAACGAAATCAAACACATACATTATGAAATCCCAGTACAAATAAAGTTTTCTTTGCCACCTTTGTGTCGTGCGTGCCAGTTATAGTAATCCCTTTCTGTGTACCAGTTTATAAATTTATTGCATAGCTATCTTTACCGATATCTTTTTTGGGTTTTGATAGTTTAGCTTGCTTTGTGCTTTTATCTCTCTCAATGTTTCTCTGTCTCTGACTATATGTTCTGTATGTTATATGCATATACTTGTTTATGATGTTTAGACTTGATCAATCTGAGAAAGGAAAGAAGATTGTAGAAAACATGAAGGGTGGTGAAGGTGAACTTGAAATGTTGGTGAAGGAGAGCGCTCACATGACGTCTCTTAATCACCGTTTTCATCAGAATGGTGGTCCTATGCTTAAGAATGTTTCACCTATTTGTTTAGATTCTCTCTCTGCTGGGTTTGGTACTTCTAGTGGCGTTTCATCACCATCTGTAACCCCGTTTCATGAGACTATGTATCGAACACCAAGTACTACATACTCGGACTCTTTGGTTTTCAAGAACTCCGATGAGCAGGAAAATAGGTTGGATGAACTGGGTTTGTCGGATAATCTCTGTAAAATACATATTGGGAATGAACGAAATGATTTATCCGGTATTAATAGATTTGGGTTGGACCCAAATAATCTTGGGTTTGGATTTCGTGCCTATTTTTCAAATGCTATTAGTCCCTGCAACGTTGAACACTACTGCCCAATTGAAGGTTTTGGCAGCGATGATAATGTTTGTGGGGGGTTTCAATCCTCCGTTCATGGTCATTCTGGGAATTTTGATGATGATATGAAGGTGACATTGCTTGGGTTGCAACATGGGTACAATGTGGGTAGTTCAATGGTCTGTCAGTCCAATGCTCTGTATTCTGGCTCCAATCTTCATAGAGACCAGATAGATTATCTAGTGGAGCTAAGAAAGGAGCAAGGGAGAGACAATTGTAAGGGGAGGATTGAATTACCGAGCCCATCTACGAGTAGACATTATCTGAATGATGGTTTCTATTGCTCACAGAATTATGGAATTGAGGGTAATGGAGATAGGAGTGTTTTGAATGCATTACAATACTCTCAGTTGATGCGTCCTAAGCTGCCTTTGACTGGGGAAACTCCAACCTATAATTGTTCAATGTTGAATGAAAAGAGTAGAGCAATGCCAAACACTAGAAACAACAATGTGGGAGGACTTGAAGTTTTTAGTTACGAAGACAACTTCATCATAGAAGGGAAGAGTTTGAATTGTGTTGCTAACAAGAAGTGTGATCGTCCAAAGGGTCAGAAGAAGAATTCCCCCAAACAAACTGCTACGCAAGGATCAAGAGAGAAAAAACCAGCAGTGGCTTGTGGATCCCTATCCAGAGGAGTTTGTGATAATGGTTTGAGTCATGGTGAGCCTGGAAAAAATTGTGGGAATGGTTTGAGGCCAAGGACTTGTAGTGCTACACTTCTGCAACCAACATGCAGTCCATTGACTGAGTGTCGTGAGTATATATTCTACATGGCCAAGGATCAGTTCGGTTGTCGGTTCTTACAAAGGATATTTGATGAGGGAAGCCTTCAAGATGTTCAAACAATATTCAATGAAATTATCAATCATGTTATTGAACTTATGGTGAATCAATTTGGAAATTACCTTATGCAAAAACTTTTAGACGTCTGCAGCGAAGAACAGAGGACGCAAATTGTGCTCATGGTGACTAAAGAACCTGGAGAGCTTGTCCGAATATCTTTGAATAGTCATGGGTAAATTCTGCAATTTTGATTAACTGTCTTCCGTTTTGATTTTATTGAACTTTTGATGCTTGTAGAAATTCTTTGATTTTTTCTGAAATTAATTCGTGTTCTTGTATCAGCACTCGGGTGGTGCAGAAGTTAATAGAGACACTCAAAACCAGGCAGCAGATTTCATTGGTTATACTTGCCCTTGAACCAGGTTTTCTTGATCTCATAAAGGACCTTAATGGAAATCATGTTGTACAGCGTTGTTTGCAATGCCTTAGGGAGGAACATAACAAGGTATATATTTCTTTCAATGGTTCTAATACAATATTTGTGGATCTTAATATTCAAATGTTCATGGGTGAACATAATGCGACATTATCTTACTTATTTCAGTCAATTCCTTGCATTTTGTTCAATTTTCTAGATTGTATCTTCCCGCGATACACTCCATTTGGGTGCATAATATTTCCTCCCAAACAACATGCCATGAGGCCCATGACAAGTGTGTTTGACATGAATGCTATGCAATTGCTTTGTGTTGCCATTCAACACATGAATGCTTTATGTCAGCCAACTAGAGTTAGCTCTACGGATTTCTGATTCCATTCTGCTATGAATTGCATAAAGGTCAATTCAATCACCCTTGGTGATTGATTCTATTCAATGTTGAAGGCTCTATGAAAACAGCCCTATTTTGTACTTCTGTTAGTCAAACAAGTGATCAATTTTTTTTTTTCTGATGAGTGAAATCCTGTTCACCAAGTTGTCCTGTTATGTGACATAGCTCAATCTACTTCTCTCTTTTGGCTTGCCACCACCTTCGGATCCCATTGAATAAATTTACTTATCTCTACCAGCATGCATCTTCAAACCATCTAAATGAACATTGGCTAACTGCTTACTTAGTAGGGCCGCCACAGGATTTTGTTCAGTGTGATTGTCTTTCCTAGTCTTCTCACTCAATAAAAAGAATATATAATTTCTTTTCAATATTTCAGTTACCTAGCTGTCTTGTCCTTGAAACATTTCTGCTTTGTACATCTTCACTTAGCCAACCTCATCTCCCACTTATAGATGAGCTGCTGGACTGCCAATAAAATGAGTATATGAAATATGTCTTGCATTCGCATGATGCTGAGGTTATATTATTTTTTTCTAGCTTTTAAAAGAATTGATTGGTTCCACTCCAACTAATGGACCTATCCTGGTAGACTAAAGCCATTTTATTGTTTGATACAAAACTAATTGTGCTTCATTTGTTGTGGGAGATTTTTTTATTTCAAATTGTACAAACACTAACGCTAGGAATACTGGTCTTTTTTTAGCAAGAACTATTGACCATAAAGATTGAGGGTAAATCCTCCTGTCAAAAGTCTAGTTATGTTACACTCCTTGTGAGTGTGCAGACCTTGGATAAGATGAATTTCTGACATAGGTTGAATTTTCTAACGATTCAGAATACTATTCTGAGATTGAGATGATTGTAGCTATAGCTTTTTGTAACTTCTTTTCCACTTGCATCTTAATTGATTATCTAATTCATTTGTTTGTTTTGCTTTTTATTTTGCATAGTTGTCTATAAAATTTGTTTTTTATATCAAATTGTAACTTCAACTTCAATCATGAATCTCAAAGTGAGTCATGCAAAATGAGGTGAGGTCTGCACATCACTGTCACTACAGTGTTGACCAGTGCGTTTTAAAACTTTCCCAAATTCAATTACCTTTTTTTCTGTCTACCGTTTCTAATTCTTCTGCACGTGTGTTTGAAATTGAATGAACATTGTTTTAAGTTATACCACTCTAAGGAATGTATTGCCTTGAAATCATCTGCCTACATGGTCACCTGGTCCTCCCACATTGATGTCAAATCTTTTCAAGTTAGTTTCTTGATTTCTCTTTTATATTTTTTGCATACAATTTAATCAATTTCTGAAGTTCTGGCATGTTCTTCGTCACTCCTCAAATTTGATGCTTCATGAAAGGTTTAGAATGTTGTTCTTGGTTTTAATCTTGAGTGCAAATGCTGATGCATCTCTATATGCTAGAGTGAAACATAGTGTTTGATTTTTTTCACCTAGGACTATATGTGAGTTCAGTAATTAAGTGACCCTTTGTTATTTCTCTTTACAAGAAGTCTTACATGGACATAAGATCCAGATTCAAAAGAAAAGGGCACAGAATATGATGCCTTAACACATGAAGATACTCCAAGATTCAGAGGAGCACACTTACCCATGGTATGTACCTTGATGGTGCAGATAGCATCAACTTGAAATGGGTTCTTTGCCCTTTTCATTTCACCCCGAGCTTTTTTTTTTCTCACCCTGTCAGCTTCTGGTTTAAAGATATAAGCGAATGAGGGGGGGGGAGTGCAAGTACATTATTAAGCCACGGGGGTCATATAGTACAAACTCATGGAGGTTGAAACCAGAAATTTTAGAAGCGAGGCCAACTGAATTGCGAAGANGAAGCACTTGTTTAGAACAAATAAGAGAACATCATAAACATGCTTCCTATATCAATATATCCACTAGGACTTTATAGGCAAAAAGACAGTAATACTGGAAAATTTCCACACAAATTTGAACCAAGGCGTACAGTCAAAATAGAGACAACAAGCAGTAACCGTGACCCAAGCGATTCATGTGGTTTGGCACCAGGCACTAGACCTATGTATGTGGATAGACAACATGAGAAGAAACTCCTCTACCTAGATGAAGATTATAGACGAAAAAGTTACCTTTCCTAATAAACCAGTGAAGCCAACCAATTTCTTATTTGCGACTGTGGCAAACACCGACCCTCTCACAGTACAAAAACCATGCCTTCACTGCACAGTCGCATCCATACCTTTATGTGATAGCACAGCTTAACTATCCATGAATCTTGGGCATTCTTCTTATGCCATTAAATCAATAGAACCAGTGAACACGCTAGAACAAAAGCTACTCCCAAGAACAATAGAATCTCAAACTCTACATTTTGCATAATTCTTTCTCCTTAAATACCTTGGCTGTTCAAATTTGTCAGTTCCTCTAAATACCATTTTTTCTAAGAAACCTTTAGCTATTACATCTTTGAGAAATAACCAACGATTCGGATTGGCCAATAATAGCCCAACAACAAATGTTAAGTATTCATGTAATCTAGTTTTCACCTAAGTTCTTGAGGATAACTAGATCACAAGTTCAACCTCTTTTTGCACCATAATGTCATAGCCAAGTTGAGTTATTATATTCGCAGGGGCTTGTAGCAAAGACACTTTAGTTATATTTATATACAGGCTGCATATAAATTTCAAAAGGAACCAGCGAAAGAAAATGTTGAAAAACGTGAAGACATTTTTAACATTTTACTTTTCACCAATACAACACATTTCGTTCTTTTCCCATCTTTCTCAGGTCCAAAAACTTATATTTTTTCTGGGTAACTCTTGAATCTTGTAGGGCACAAAATGTTTTTACTGAAAAAACAAAATATAAAATGCATGTTTGCAGAAGCACTGTTAAAGTAATTTACATTGAATTATTAACTTTGAGTACAAATAGAACTTAGAAGAAAAGTCTAATACAAATGGAGAACCCCATCTCTACTTTGAGAATAAAAGACTTTTTCCGAAAATTCTTTGACCTTGATAACTGGACAGTTATTTAACATATTCGCTTCTCACAAAAACTTGATGCATGCAAATTTACTAACATCCACACCAGATGTCATATCTTCATGAGAAGAAAATAACTATCACTATTTCAGCCTTACCATTTGTCATAGATTAAAAGTATAGAGAAATATTAAGTAATTTCAATTTTGTACAATGACCTGCGAGTGTCTTTGCAACTTCAGCTGAAACTACAACCAAAAGAGAGCAAAGCCCTTTCACATCCTGTGCCAGGAGAACATCTAATAATGGAGACCTTCAATCATGAGCAGTAACAATAGTTAGTTTTGGAAAGCGAAAACAGAAATCACTCACTATGATCCACGTGATTTGTGCAATGCACAAAAGCACCCAACTCTTCCCATTGGCACATGAAAACATAAGATCAGACCGTTTAAAAGTGAGGCAAATTCTCAAAATTTAAAAATGGGTACCTGTATGTCGACTTTGAAGGTCCACACACTGTTGCAGTAGCAGAGCCAGGCAAACGTACCGGGGAAGCAGAGGCATCCAATGATGTCAAACAAGGTTCCTGATAACAGGGAAGAATAAGCATCAGAAGATGTCAATAAGGTTTTGGTTAAACAGAAAATAGAAGTCCCTAGTTTGTTTGTTGGAAAATGGAGGAAAGGAAAAGGACAATAGGAATCTTATTTGAGGTCAAACTACTAAAAGATTTTCTTTTTCTTTTTTAAGAAAAGGAAAGTGGAGTATAAGCATAACTTAGTTGTAACATTGGTGCCCCAAACTTAGTACAAAAATGAATGAGGAAAGAAAAAACTATAGAAAAATCACTTGAAAAGCAAAGTTATAACATTGCAATGAGCTTGTGCCCATTGAAGCAGTTTTAATAAGTATAGTATGCATCACCTGATGTTCGGCAAGTTATTGCACATTTACTTCCCATCTTTTCATTCAGGACAATATAGCCTTATCTTTTAAATTTAGAAATGTACATACATTGAGGCAAACAGCAATGATTAAACAAAAACCAACAAGACAAAGTTTTCTTATATTCAAGTGCTTATAAGAGAATACCCGCTGAAATTGTGCGATCTTGTTATTAGGTTGATCATTGGAACGTGATACAAATATTAGTTGTCGATAATTCCTCCTCTTGGTTTCTGTAGACGTCCCAAAAACAGAATATCCAACAGCACTATTAATAGCCGCATTAGCCTCCTGTTGGATAGAGGCCATGACATTGGCATGGTAACCATGAAAAAGAGTTTTTCTCTCTTCACTTCCTTCAAAGTTCTTGCAGTCCATGCATTTACAATTTTCAGAGCACAAAATGTTGGCCTGGAAACACTCACAATACCTCTTCAGACACCCAGATTTCTTGCAGTTACATCCTTTGTTGTGTTTCCCAACCATTGTAACCTCACCTGTGTCTTCCTGGTATTACTCTGTAGCAGTTAGAAGGCAAACGGTATAACTCAAAACATTAAGGCATGTCATACTTTAACCTACCAGTTTTTAGGTTGACAACCTGATCATTTAGGTAAACATTTATGCAAAGCACTACATAAGCAGTTTACAGTTTAGAAATTAACCTCAGAAGGTAGATAACATTGCAACAAAAACTGAGGAACTTAGGTTCCATACCCTGCCGACGTTTGCTCCATGTGGACTGTTAGCAATCTTTGGTCTGAATGCATTTGGATTTCTCTCTAAGGTTGCTCTAACTGCCTCTTGCCTAGTAGCCTCATACTCAACAATATTGTGACAATTTGTGCAGTTGCAACCAGCACAATAAACCCCAGAAGAAAAACATTCACAGTACCTGGTGATTGTTAAGATTAGCTTCTGAACAATTTATCTGTACTTGAACAACACTAGGTATATGAGTGTACTTACGAACTCAATCAAAGATTCTTAGCGAAGCAAAAAGGTAAACCGGAAGGGAGGTATCTATGGCTTACTGTATGCTGGTGTGCAACATTATGCAATCTTACAACTCCAATGGTGTTATAAGAGCAGAATGAAACAGGATTTTACATTTTGCGATGTGCATTTCTTTAAAAGAAATTTTATTGGTTTTAACATGAATCACTAATAAAATGATCTTTGGGTGTTCTATGACCAAATTTCGAATAACGAGTATATAGCTAATCTGAAAAGGGAAAAAAAATGAACTACCTACTCTAACTTGTGCACAGTTGGTTTGATCAATGAAAATGTCAGCGGAGGAAAGAGACTTTTTAAGGAGAGAGAGCTCATGTCGTGACCCTATACCCTCACACAAAAATTACTTCCAAGAAGTTAGAACTTGCACAAAATCATTAGATACTTTTTTGCTGCATGACAAAATCCAGTCGTTAGCACTGCAATACTACTGCAGATAATTTAAGCAGTTCCTTTGTTGTCCCAAACTGAGCAATTTAAAGGAAGGAGATGAGCTGTATGAGGGTAAATTCAACTGCTCAGATTTTATCTATGGTTTAATACTGAGAAAATCATCTTCTTCCTCTTGATAGATCATAAGATCCCTTTACATGAAGAGGCAAGTTCAGCTGTGTGATGCTAAAACAACACAGAACCCAGGCTAAGAACTTACAACTTTAAGCAACGAGAACTTTTGCAATTACACTGCTTCTGTTTCTTTGGAGTACCATCCTTCAATTCCGTGCTACACCTTTTTCGTGATTGTGGAGACTCTGTCTTGCTGATGAACATAAATGTGTGCAACGTTAAATAAAACAAANTCTCGAGCTAATCTCTTAATTAACATGACTATGACTATGACTATACGATCAGAATGGTTTGTTTCTGCTTCGACTTGTATAAATTCGTTGCTCTATTTGTGTTTTCTGTTAATGTCTATGTGCTATGTACGCATCATATTCGCGCGACCTATTTGATCTTTCTTTCTAGATTCTGTTTCCTTTTGATTTCAGGGATGCTACAGAAATGATCTTGATGCAATATAGTATGATCATTGCTTAGAAAACTGAACATAAATGCTTTCTTGATAAGATACAACAAAAGGCTATGAAACTTCTTGGTATAATCCCAAGTATAACAAAACAGCATACATCGATGCTATTGCCAAACCATGATAACCATGCTTTAGATTGGTGGCCTCCATTGCACTTCGGAGATATCGGGTGAGATTGAGTTTTTGTTGAGTCTTATCAGATTTTTGTCAAAAAATATTCTATACATCTGATTCGTTTATTAATTCGTATCAAACGAACTGTATTATATCAAATTTATATTATTTATGAATCATGTATTAATAGTATATAAATGTGTTATATCGTATATTTATTTTGATTGACTTTATTTATATTTAATTTATTTATTAATTGTGTCATGTTGTATTTTTTTGTTTATGAAATGGGCAGTTTAAAAAGAGTCAAATTTTTTAATTTTGTACCGTGTTCGTAGCGCATTGACACTTCGAAATACGGCCCTTAATGTCTACCTAATGAGTGGAGTTTACGTCATAATTTATGCTAATGGGGCCTGTAAACACGCGACCCCTAGCCACTTTAAGCCCAAAGCTTAATCGACTATTAGTTGGCTTGGATTCTTGAAGGTCATACTAAAAAATTTTGGGCTTGGCCCTGAAAGTCCAACATAGAATTTTTTTTTTTTTTTTTGTGGGATTAATTACACCAAGATTCTTAAAGTATAAGATTTATTTTATTTTAATATTCAATATTTTAATTATATCATTTTAGTTCTTGAAGTATTAAATATATTTTTATGTAGTTCTTCAAACAGATAATGTTCATATTGCTAACGTTTTTTTTATTATAAATTTGTCACATAATATCTAATATTGACAAAAAAAAAATAATTTGAATAACTCTTCATCAAATTTTTACCTAAATTTTGGTCAAAAAATTATCCAAACTACACAATTTTAATAATGAGCTATCTCAATTTTAGTAAAGAGTTATCCAAATTACACATTATTTGTTAATAGCTATTCAAATTTTGATTAAAAATTATTCAAAATATTTTTTACTTATATTTAGATATCACGTGTTTATAATAAATAATCTTTAATAATTTAAATGCTATCTACTTAAAGGATTATAAAAAATATATTCAATATTTTAGGAATTAAAATGGTGTAATTAAAATATTAGAGACTAAAATAAAAAATTCTATATTTTAAGAACCTTTAATACAATTAATTTTTTTTTTGTTATAACGTGTCTAAATTTATGCCGATTACTTCTTGAAACTCGAATACCGACCATCGTAACTTAAGCGAACCAACATATTGTTTTAAATGTTTATGTTTCATTCTCTAATGAAAAATCATGGTTTAATTTGACATGGTATTCTCTAGCCTTTTGAGTATGTGTGGGTTATATGGATTCTTCGACACTTAGGATTTTAAGTGTAAGTGTCGTTGCAATCCTTTGATTAAAAAAAAAAAAAAACCTTTTATGATCAGCGTACTAAGCCCCGTTGATTTCATTCTCTCTTCCCCTAAAATTTTCTAAATTAACTGAAACCCTTCTTTTTCATATTCTTCNAAAAAAAAAAAAAAACTTTTTATGATCAGCGTACTAAGCCCCGTTGATTTCATTCTCTCTTCCCCTAAAATTTTCTAAATTAACTGAAACCCTTCTTTTTCATATTCTTCAGACCAGTTGTGGGCTCCATCGACGCCGACAGTCGGTGATTAAGTGCTCCGATGTCTCAACCTTGTATCATAAAGGTTCATTCTCTCCTTCTGTGTGTGTGTGTGTGTGTGTGTGTGTGTGTGTGTGGCAACCGAGGGTGTTTCCGCGACGGCAAAGCAACTGCCTTACGCCGTCGGGGCCTACTGAACGACTCAGCAGTATCAGTCAAACTACTAAGAGTAGTTCTCTGGTCGATAATCTGATGCTCCTGAGGATACAATTACTGTTGATCGACAAAGCGATCGTTAGGGTTCTGATGAAATGGATAGAAGGGATTTGGTTTTGGTGTGAATTACGTCAGTGTGGTTTATTATGGTGATTCAGCAAAGAATTTTGGTTAGTAATTTTTCATTAAGTTAAATATATTTTTTACTATCATCCTTCCTTTAAGTAAAAAAAAAATAAAGAATGAGTGTTCAAATTCAAATTTTTTACTATCATCCTTCCTTTAAGTAAAAAAAAAAATAAAGAATGAGTGTTCAAATTCAAATTTTTTACTATCATCCTTCCTTTGAATACATGTGTTGAAATTCAAATTTTTAGATTGGATCGAATATTCAGTTATTAACGGATTATATGGTAAAAGAAATGAGCAATGCTGCTATTTAGACATAATTTATTGACCTAATTATTTATAAACTTTGAATTAATAGCGAACCCTAGTATCAATTGGGGTCCGCTACTAATATAATAGTTTGAATGTCAGCAAATTAGATCTAAATATTAGAAAGAAATTTCATTGCCAAATAAGATTGACCAATGTTCTTCGACTTGAATTTCTGAACATAAATCACAACAACAGTCTACATTGTTTATACTTGATCCCTTATCTTATAATTTATATTTTAATTTTTTAATTACGGTAAATTTAAATCTATATTTTAACCACAATAAATTTGTTCAATCACTCATGCGTCATGCATTGCACGGGATACCCCTAAGAATATCAAATGGCTAAAACCCCACTCTTATGGCACCCAGACTAGAATAAGGGTATGTACATTCTCCTTATGAGAAGGGATCATTTGAATGTATCTAAATAGATACTATATTTACATATGAATCCTTGTGTCGTTACAGTCCTTCTAGGATTAGAAATAGACATAATCAGACTTTTTTTTTTACATATTTCTCCTTTGTTGAAGCCTCCTTGGACTTCTATTGAATGGAGAAGTAAGCTTGACTGTCTTAGCTCTATGTTCAGCTGTCACTAGACCATGCACTTAATGCTGAAAATTCTCGTGTTTTTTACTCAACAACTAATAAACAAGGCATTCTTAGAATCATCCATTACGTGTAGTTCACTAATTTAATTTAGCATTTGAAATTCAAAAATCTCAGATTTAATTTCTTCTCATAGTCCTTAAGGGTTAGCCACCCTTATTTTTTTAAAAACATACTCTAATCCAGTTCAAGCCATGACTTGCCGCTGAACTCGAAAGAGTAACCATTGCAAACGAACACAAAAAAAAAAAACAAAAGTATTCTTAAAATTGCTAAGTTTTATTATGTGTAGATAAACTTAGCTCCAAAGAGTACATATAATTTAAGTACTTCCACGAAGGGATAGATTATAAAACCAAACACGCAAAACTCACACCNCATTGCAAGCGAACACAAAAAAAAAAAACAAAAGTATTCTTAAAATTGCTAAGTTTTATTATGTGTAGATAAACTTAGCTCCAAAGAGTACATATAATTTAAGTACTTCCACGAAGGGATAGATTATAAAACCAAACACGCAAAACTCACACCCAACAAAAAAAAAAAAGGAAAAGGAAAAGAAAAAGAAAAAGAAAAAGAAAACCGACACACACACAAAGACAACTACAAGGCTGTCCATGGCAGGACGTAGTTCACTAACAAAAGCAGGGTGGCATATATATTTGCCAGGAACACAAGCAAAATATGGTAGAACAGCTTAAGCCTGTTTCAAGCATCTTCATGTCCGATTAGAGCCAGGAGCAATTTCTCATAGTCTCCCTTGGTATCCTTGGCAATGGCGCGATCTAGGGGGACACTATTCCTTTTCTGGTACTCATCCTTGATAATCTTCATGTCGAACTCAGCCCTTGTAACGATGACTCTAGTGAGAGCACCTTCATCTGTTCCTAGCTTGTTGATTGCGAGCCGAAGAGTCTCCTCAAAATACTTCTCAGGGTAGGTCAAGCATTTCACAGTGGCTCCTAGTATTGCAAGGAACTCATCCTTGGGGTCAGCTTCCAAATCCTGCATAAAATCAGTGTTCCTGATGATCAGGTAACCTTGTTTGTAAATTTAAACAAAGCTTTGGTAAGGAGGGTTGTGTAGACGAGAATATAGTCGGTAACCTTCATAACCAAGAGACTAACAGTCTGCAGTAGCATCAACCGATCCAATATTTTTTGAAAAACCAGTATCTGATCCTCTGAAGTGGAATATATGGATGATGATCATCAGCCTAACTAGATTTGTGTTGAGAAGGAATAGCCTGATCTACCAATTGGAATGCTTTGATACAGAGTATCATTGCTTTTATACTTCTCAATTCTATGACAACAATGTCCTGGACAAAATATCTCCTCCATTTCCAGGCAAAACACTATGCGCCCATAAATAACATCTAGATGGCGTGATGCAATATCAATTGCAAAGGGTACAAAAAATAAATAATAGGTTTATGTCGAAAAGGATATCTGCCTAGAAGTATCTCAATCGAACACAGTTTATATGTATACCTTGTTTAGATCAACCCCGAATGCATTTTTGTATTGATTCAGAGTGGCATTGATTTGTGCTTTGCTCCTTGTAGTCAGAATCCTGATGACATCATCATGGTTGCAAGCCTTATCCCCAATTTTCTCATGGAGTATTTTAGCCTCGGATTTCGCAAGAGTCATGTTCACCTCGTCGCCCGAATACCGATACGAGCTCACAAGAGGTACCAAAAGCTGGAAGCAAGAAACAGAAAAATAAAAAGCTGTCTAACTTTCCATTAATAAAAGAGTTTCGGAAAATCTCAATTAAAAGATGTGCTTGCCGTGTCAATACATTAACTCCTTCAAACAACAAATTTAGAATGAAAGCCAATTAATCCAGTAGAACTTTCCATGAATGAAATAATGTGAACAACTCTCAATTGAAAAAGATTTGCTTGCCATGCTAATACATTACCTCGTTCAAACAACAAATTTACAATAAAAGCCAATTAATTGGCCATATCATCGTTTACATGGACAATGATCTAATGTATGTACAATATGGTTCTTTGCGGAAACCCCACCTAAGGATTACTTATTTACAAAACAAGTTAGGTTTCAGATTGGCAAGAGAAATCTAAGCACTCATTTGAAAGTTATACTTGTGCTGGTGCAAGAGGAAAGAACAAGAATTTTCTTACCACGTAAAAATATATCTTCTAAAGAAAAAGCATGTATATTACGTGAATAGCACTAAATTTATTGACATCAAAAAAAGATATATTGGTTCTACCTTGCGGAAGTCACCAGTTGTGTGATATGCGACATCCTCTTCAAGGGATCTCTTGAAACGAGTATGATAAGCTTGCCTTGCCAAAAGCAGTTCATGTGAAGACCTTGTACAAGCTATTTCAACCAGAACCAGATTGCTTGATTTCCACCTCTTTGCGGCTTCATTAGCCAAAAATGCATCACGTTCAGGAGGATCAAGTGTCCAGAGCAGTACCAACCTCTGATATAATATATTTGGGAAAGCAAGTGAATTAGCTTTGTTGTACATAAACACAATTTGCTTCTTTGTTCTAATCAAAATTAACTGGAGGTGATGGTCAATGCTATTTAGTCTAACTGCATCGGTGTAAACTAAAAATGTTGTGATACCCTCCATTAAGATTTACTGGAACCCAGCCCTTTGCCCTTATAAGGAACTTATGACTAAAATTTAATGTACCAAAAAGAAAAAGATGCATGGAAGAAGCAACCTCAAAATCATTCGTAAGTTCCTTCTCTAGTGCTTTGAGGAGGTCTTCTCCATAAGTTTCAGCATAAGTCTGTCGGATTAACTTGCGTTGAGCAGCATTTCTATGAGCCAAAATGGATATTATCAAACCCTCATTTGTTCCCCATCCTGCAAAAGATTCAATTAATAGCTAAAATTAATCTCAAAGGAGGAAGAGACTATGAAAGAACCAATGACATCCGAGAGAACCATAGATCAAATGGTATATACCCATTTCTAAATGTAGATAAAATTTGGCCACACCCATTTTTAACCATATTATGATGTTCAATAGCATGCAACATCAGAAATTCTAAGTTAGTTTTTAACCTATGATCTGCTTTTGATATCTTAGAAATAATAAGTAACTGAAAGAAGAAAAGCCTCAAAAAGGTCTACTACAAAATTTTCGAGCATCTTTTTTCTGCTGCTTCTTTCAGCGAAATTGCGAGGGTGAAAATTGGGCGAGTTACTTGCACAAAAAGGAAAATTGAGCGAGTTACTTACCCAAAAAAGGAAAATTGAGTTGACTGAGCAGAAAATTCAACAAGAGAAAAGGATACTGTAATCAACGAAAACATAACCATTTCACAACCATTTGCCAAATGGCAAGGCAATTTTGATGCATAGGCCCGGAGGTTAGTTTGATGCAATTGTGAAAAGTCTGCCACCTTATGTGACTGCTCTTAGTCGTTCAAAACTATCAATAACAAACCAAAATTGCAATTAACACAGACGCACACACGATCACAACCAACTGGCTCAAAAAGCTTAGGCAGGATAGGGTGGCGCAACAACATACTTCAACAATACCGACAGCCATTTATAGCTCAACAAATATACATCTGCACATGCTCAGTATTTAATTGACAAGATAAAATCAAACACAACGAGACAATATCTCACTAAACAACATCACAGATCAGATCAAGGCAGAAAAGATCTCACTAAAAAACATCATAGATCAGATCAAGGCAGACAAGATCTCATAATTACACACAAATTATAAGATCCAATACACTCTGATCACTGATCGAAAAAAATAAATCAACAGTTAACCCAACACGTGATTTATATCCAGAAACCGTTCATCAATCATAGAACAGAGAGATCAAGCATTTTTAACACGTAAATACAAAAAGTCGCTATATGTAATTGAAAATACAAGATCTCATCGAGAAACGTCAGTCTGTCTCGACCTGATCGCACTACAAAGATCTTGATCTCTATCAGACCCTCTAAATGATTCCTACCACCAAATCAAAATTGTACTGACAGACCTTTGAAGGCTTTTTGAAGTTGTTCACAGTCGTCGGCGACGGAGGGAACCTGTGCCGGAACAATCAGAGTCGACATTGTTGTCTCTGTGGAAAACCGAAAGCGAGTAAGTGAGAGAGTGTGAGAATAGCTGAGACGTGCCCTTCCTCTTTATGGCAAGGACAACGACATTGGGATCGGAGAAAAACCACTTTTTAAATTGTTATCTCTTGCCACGTGTACTATAGTCTATTGCATAGGTGGGTCCAACACCGAATCGAAAAATCCAACGAAAAATATTATACTTCTCAATTTTTTTTTGGGTTAATTACACTACAGCTAATTTTTTTTATTTTAATTTTTAATATTTTAATTACATTATTTTAATCTCGGATATATTTAATATATTTTTTATATAATTTCTCAAACAGACAACATCCAGATTAATAATAATTTTTGATTATGAAATTATCACATAATACTTAAATATGAGTAAAAAAATAATTTAGATAACTTTTTATCAAATTTTTACCCAAATTTTAGTTAAAGGGTTACCCGAATTACACATTTTTTATAATGAGTTATCCAAATTTTGGTCAAGAGTTATCCATATTATACATATTTGGTCAAGAACTATTCAAATTTTGGTTAAGAACTATCAAAATTATTTTTTTTTTCATATTTAAGTATCACATGACAAGTTTATGATTAAAAAATTATTAATAATTTTGGCGTTGTCTACTTGAAGGACCACATAGAAATATATTCAATACTGCATGGACCAAAATAATGCAATTGAAATATTAGAGACCAAAATAAAACAAATTTTATACTTTGGGGGACCTCTAGTACAATTAACTTTTTTTTTTTTTTTATAAAAAATGTGTCAATAATGCTATTTAGATCTAATTTGTTAACATAATATATTAATTTAATTTAATTTATCACACATATTAAATAAGTTGGGAGTTTGAACGAATACTGAGTCCATTATGAATTCAATAATTATAAATGATTAAGTCAATAAATTTTATTCAAATAAGATTGCTCAAATTTTATTAAAGGTTTGTTTACTTAGGTATTAGGCTAGAGGGATTAGATAAAATAATGTATGAGTTTACCTTATCCCATTTATACTAATGTTTAAATATTTATTTTGAGCTCGGTATTATCACTACAAATAGACTAAGACCCAAATAAACAGTGTTTTTAATATCATAAAAATCTTATTAAATTAACCCACATATTTTATTCTTTGTAAGTTCGTTACTCACTTACTTTTATTATCCATTAAAACAAATGTTCTATTATTGGACTTTTTGAAACAATTGGTAAATGCTAAAATGTGTTATCCCAAAAGTGCTTTATGTTTTTTCAAAGCCTCAAATTTTTAAACAAGATGAACAGTAATTTCACTTAAATCTCACAACAAAATGAAATATTATTTTGTCACAGACTCTTTGATTGCATACGTCGAAAGAAATTTTTTAAAAACTTTAGCATAGAATCGATTATAGACGATTTTGTGATTTTAAAGAATGTCGTATTCTACTATGATATAGAATTAATACTATTTTTTTATGTTGTAATTTTATTTATCATTATTATACTTTGAAATTCTATAAATTAATTCGTGAATTTGAGATTCTTATTTTATTTCTCTAAAACGAAATCTTGGCTCCGCACCACCGCATAACTTGATATCAGAGCTTAGATTCTCGACTTACCCATGATTTGCGAGACATGGGTCTAGACCATTGCATCTATTGTATATTACATGTTGTGTGCTTTAAATGCTACATGTTATGTGTTATATGTTATGTGGACAACATGCATGATTGAATGTGTATGGAAAAGACTCATTAGGGTTAGCGAACATAACTTTGGTGGTCGGAAAAAGAATAAACGAGATGGTTCAGGGTGTAGATATCTACTGGTGAGTGACACACACTACTAGTGAGACAAGGAGAGAAATCTCAAAATTTGAACTTAATCTATATCTTGGGATACTAAATTAGTACTCTATTGTTAATTGACATGTGTGTAGATGGCAAATAGAAGAAGAGGATGCGACCAAGGCAGTGAACAAAACAACCACCAATCAACACCGGCTTTTGACTAACAAGCCGTTATAGAGGCTATGAGTAGGATGATTGCTAACCTATCACAGATAAATGCCAAATGAGTTTAAGTTCCATGGTCCACCAACGTTTATGAAAAAAGCAGAGGGCATCCAGCCCACAGGGGCAAAGCCAAGCTTAGGGTCGTTTGTCCCAATGAGGGAAGAAATTCATGGAGATGTTTCAAGGAGACCAAATGATATGTTTCTATTGTCAATAGCGGGGCCGCATGAGGAAGAATTGTTCCCTGAGGCAAAGCTCACGGAGTTCCAAGACATCTCAATCCCAGTCATCAGTGAGACTCACATAAGTACACATTGTTCCTCCCTGCCCCATTATGGACCAGGGATATCTGTTCCAACTACAGGGTGTTGTCCAAGCCCCTAGTACTTCACGTTCGAAGACTCCACAATCAAGCCGGATGAGCCAAGATGTGGGCCCAGACCAAGGAAAGGACTTTCAGGCAGCAACATTGGGGACGTAGGATATGGTCTTTAACGTTGCACCGTAGAATGAGTCGATGGATCAGTCTACAACACACAATACATTTCTTACTTCCCTGTTTATGGGCACATGTATCATTTGACTTCAGCTTGTCATATACCATTATGTTTCATATTTTGTGCATGAAATAGATTTAGAAATCGTAACCCTAAAAGAGTCCTTATGGGAAAAGTCAACCTTAGGGGCTAGGTGTGCATTGACCAGATATGTCAGGTTGTGAGCTAGAGATCTCAGAATTCTACTTACAGTGGACCTTAGGGTCATAGACATGTTAGAGTTTGATGTCATCCTTGGGATGGATTGGTTGACGGCACATCGAGTCGTCATTGATTATGATCGGAAGAGAGTCACTGCTTATACGCCGGATGAAGTTTGTTTCAAATTTCAGAGGGAGAAGCTTGATGCTTTACCCCAAGTAGTGGACGATTCCCGTTGGCACTGGTAGTTGATGAGTTCGCTTGCGAGCCTTACCCTAGAGAACGAGGCGTGACAGGAATTGGGTCTATCTCGGGTAGTTTGTGAGTATGAAGACGTTTGTTTGGACGAATTATTGAGATTATCTCCACATAGAGATGTTGATTTCACTATTGAGTTGCACTCCAGTACATCGCTCATTTCTATAACTCTGCATAGAATGACACTTACAGAGTTACAAGGACTCAAAGTCCAATTGAAAAAAGAAAATTAATGGACAAGGGTTCATTAGACCGAGCACCTCACCTTGAGGCGCGCCAGTATTATTTTACAAGAAGAAAGATAAGACTTTTCAACCATATATAGACTATCGGCAGTCGAATTGGATTACTATCAAGACTAGATACCCTTTGCCAAGGATTGATGACTTGTTTGAACAAATGAGAGGGCCGTGGGTCTACTTCAAGATAGATCTACGCACGGGATACCATCAGTTGAGAAGTAAGGAGATAGATATCCCTAAGACGGCATTTAGGACACGGTATGGACATTTTGAGTTCACAATTATGCCTTTTGGATTGATGAATGCCTCGACGATATTTATGGATCTCATGCATAGGGTGTTCCAACCCTACCTAGATCAGTTTGTTATAGTCTTTGTTGATGACATTCTGATCTACCCTAAGTTTGAAGATGAACATGAGGCCACTTGAGGGTTGTTCTCCAGACCTTGAGGGACTGATGCATATCATGGATAGTCGGGAGTAGGTTTTGCGAGGTGAGACCGTAAAGCTAGTGAAGGTGCTGTGATAGCACCGAGGTGTGAAGGAAGCGACGTGGGAGCGTGAGGACACTATACATACCAATTATCCGTTCTTGTTTGAGGATGGAGGTACATAATTGTAATCATAAGTACTCTATTACTTGTTATATACGCATGCGATTAAATGTGTATGAGTGTGTGAATTTAGGGGAAGAAATTCTTTTAAGGGGGAAGAATGTAAAACCCAGAAAAATTTGAACTTTTTATGAAAAATGACAAAACGGTAATTTACCACTATAGTGCGGGTTGAAAACCTGTATTTCTCTAGAGTTCGGATGATGAAATGGACCTCACCATTGGATTCGTCTCGTGAAATCTAGTTACCTAGATAATTTTCGTCGAATTTCAAGATAATCAATTTTGTAGGTTTTTTGAGGTGACGGGTGTCAGGTGACCTCAAAAAAAAAAATGTCCCAAAAATAAAATTTCTAAAATTTTATTATAATTAAAAGAAAGTTCATATAAAAATATAAACCGGGACGAAAACGAACCCGAAAATAGGGAATGCATGACGCGACATGGACCAAACATTAAATGATATAAATAGGAACAAAAAATCTGATTTTTAGACAGAATTCTCTGCTGAATCCAGTGGGTTCACGTTAGAAGAGAGGAAGAGGGGGAATGAAGGAAAAAAAGAGAGATTCAAGGCTTATCTCTACAATCTACAGAGTTCTGTCGGTCAGAATCTTTCGGGCCAAGAGTTAAAGTCTATTTATACGACGAGGGCTGTGCCTACATACCTAAAAAAAGGATTTCACTGAAGTTTCAAAAACGATATTTTGGGGAAAGCTTGGATTAGAGCTTGGATTGTGTTCATGGAGCCTTCTACGGTTGTATTACGCTTCAAGAGGTAGAGTTTTCATCCTAATTAGGTTTATTTCCAACCTAAGATGAATATATGAAATGAGTGAGTTATTATGTATTTTTTAACACTTGCCTATTGTAGTTGGTTTAATGAAAATGGGTAAACTCAATTCTAGTATGAATTGGTAATTAGAAATTGATAGTTTGTGATTTCTTGAATGTTTTGATAATTGAGTATATGAAAATCATTTAATCTGATTTTTTTTGAGTTATGTGATGGAAATGACATTTTACATGATTTGGTAACTTGAAGGTGTTTGATAAAATGCCTATGCGAAATAAAGTGTGTTAATTTCATGAGATTATGTGATAACATGCTTGGAGAAAATTGTTGTTAAATGCAGAAGTTGATACATGCTCATAATATATTGACATGATGAGAATTTATAAAAATTATATGCTCATGATATAATTAACCATGAAATGTGTTAAAATGTGGTTAAGATTATTCATATGACACTCGTACATATAGGAC